CAGCAGGAAGAACTTCCCTTTCTGCTGTCTTCACTCCAGAACATTCATATCTATTTCCTTCCTGGTAATGTAAGAAATTGAATCTAGTTTTTATATGTGCTGAAGGATGTTGTTTGTTGCTTCTCTGTCCAAGCCAACAGCTCTAAACACAGGCCTACGTGCACTGTATTATGTGAAGACCTCAGGAGGTATTATGCGATCCCCTAAATCAGAAGATGTTGGCTCATTGATTTTGTTCTGAACATTTTTATGTTGGCATTTTTTTAATGAATTGCTACAGTCTGGACATTGAGAGAAGTGAGCTCTGGGGCCACTTTGGCTACCACCTAGCTGTTGATATGCCCCTCTAGGCCTCAGCATAGCACTAAGGTCCTCTGTTTTCAGCATCTACCTGAAAATTGAGCAGGCTGAAGCCACCTGAGTTTGGAGTCGGAGTCCTTTACTTTCACCATGGGGGGGGGGGGTAAAGAGAATAAATAGAATAAAAATCCATGACTTAAAATGCTCACCTGAGTTGAAGATGTTTTTGTCTGCACACTTACAGGTTAACACTGGTAAACCTCACAGAGTAAATGTTGACCTACTGCTTAACCTGGAGGGCTCTGTAGTCCCATCTTCTTTGTCCAGTCACAATTGGACATTTTGGGGGAAATTAACTAAGTGATAAGCTTATGTCTTTTCATATGAGAATTGTGTACTCCTATGATGAATTTTTGACTGTCACATTTGGCTACAGATTTACCCAGACTGCCTTTCAGTTATCACTGCCCTATCTTCCCATTACATTACATTATAATAATAAAAAATCAATGTAGGCTCATGTACAATTCTTCATCAATTATTTGGGGGTTGGTCTAGAGCTACATGGAACCCTGGCCCTGATTTTTGTTTAAAATGACCTTGAAAGACATCTTATTTGAAAATGTGTCATCATTTCTCACAGAAGGAGGCAGAAAGGCTAAGTTTGATGGAATTGGAGTGAAGTCAGTCAAGGGAAAAAAAAAAGGACAACCTGTAAACCTACTCTGCTAATAAGCAATTCAGGCATCTGGCCAGCATTGATCAAGTGTAGTGGATGCAAGACAGACAGCTCACAAACTGCTCCTTCCTTTCAAAACTGCTCCACCTGCCTCCGCAGCTGCCAGGGCTCCAAACAAAACCCCACACCTCTGCCTCCTTCCTTTGCCACATTCAAGCATGAACTTGCCACAAACACACTTTTCACACGCTGTTAGCCCAGCAATTCCCTTGGTGCCCCTCTGCTCTGCCCTGTCACATTTCATGTCTGCTACATACCAAAGGTGACACAACACTCAAGGTTTTTGTTCTTTGCAAGTCATCTTGGGAAAGTATGATGACTTGCAGTTGTCTTTTTTTTTTTTATTTGGAGCCCTGTGGTTTGAGGCAGGGTTGCTGGGGGAACGGCCTCAGCAAGAAGAGGCTCATGTGAAGTTGGTTATAAAAGTTTTTAAACCAACAGAAGGTGAGGAAGACTTCTGCGGGGTAGGCTTTGTTGGGGCTTGGCTGGGAAGAATTAGGCCACAGGGTGTTGGCAGTTTCGTGAATAAAAAATTACTCAGATCTTGAGGTAAAGGAAGGGTAATTGGCAGAGCTTCAATGATAACTTTATTAGGTAAACACACAGCTGTCCCCAGTCTAATTTATACAAAGACAGAAAAGGGAAGGAGTTAGGGTAGAGATCTAGAAGGAGTTGGCAAAAGGGGAAAAAGTAGTGTAAGATCTGTGAACTGGAACATCCATGGGGGGAACCTATGTGCAAGAAGAGGTGGCCTTTGAGTAGCTTTCTTTTTCTGAAATAATAAAATCTGTATGCATGTAGACAAGACAGAAAAATATTAAGGAAACACACGCATGTATGCACTCGTAATTCTAGAGATCACTACTATAAATTTCTTGTTTTCCATTCTTTTTCTGTGTGTATTATAACCTACTTAAGCTCATACTGTAGCTGCAATTTGATACCCATTCTGGTTGTGTGGCTTTTTTTTTTTTCATCTTTAATAAGCTACAGCTCCTTGAGCTTTTGTAGACTGTGTGTGGTTTACAGCCACGTGATAGTTTGTCTTGTGAATGCTTTCTAGCAGGATGGGCCCTTCATAATGATTAAGTAAGAGCACTCTGTGGGTCAAACAGTTCTAGGATAGACTTCTAGTCCCTTACTCCATTTAATAACCTGGTGACTTGGGGAAATGCCTTCATCTCTCTAGGCCTCAATTATTTCATCTGCAAAATGGGCATAATAATATCACTGCTTATGGAGTTGTTATGAGGATTAAACAAGGCAGTGCTTACTGACTCCCTCTGCTTTGAAATTGTCTTCTCTTTAAAAGGGAGGTAATATTATTGCCATTTTACAGAAGAGAATGATTAGCTAAGTGAGGTCACTTGCCCAGTGTCCATGCTAATTAACTGAAAGATCCAGGATTTTTATTTCTAATCCTCACCCGAAGATATTTTTTCCAGAGAGTGGGAGGGAGAGAGGAGGGGGAGAGAGAGAGAGAAACATCGATGTGAGAAACACATCAGCTGGTTGCCTCCCGGGCACCCTGACCAGGACTAGGGTTCAACCTGCAACCGAGGTACATGCCCTTGACTGAGAATGGAACCAGAGACCCTTGGGTCCTCAGGCTCATGCTCTAACCACTGAGCAAAACCAGCCAGGGCAAAGAGCCCTGATTTTTAATGACAGATTCTGAATCCCCACCTCTTGCCCACCATCTAAACTGCTTACTCACGGGTAACTTGGCTAAATCACCCAGCTAATAAAGAGCCGAGGATGGGCAGATTCATTTGCTGATCTCTACCTGACCATCTCTCTCCTACAGTCAATCCTCGTGAGCAAGGAGATACTCTAGAACTGGTTCAGGAATGGATGCCATTGATTGCATTGCTACCTCTGTCACCTATAGAGTAACAAGATTTGAGAGTAAAACAAGTGACTGATAAGCAAAGAAATTCCATTCCAGTTTCCAGCGTTCAGCTGGTCTGAGGAGTCCATGCTGGCAGCCTTGGGAGGGAAAGGGGCAGCAGGTTTAGAACCCCACCCAGTTGCACCAGCCCCTGAGCCTGAATTTTGTTGAAGGTCCCACATCCAGAGAAGATCTGATTTAAAGCCACCCCAGTGACTCTTTTTGAATCACTTGGTTATTCAGCAGATTGAATCTTAATTGCAAATGCGTTTGCAGCGTAGGAGAACCATTGTGCTTGCTGGTTTCAGGCCATTTTTTGCTGAGCTGAACTTTTCCAGAAGGCTATTACAAATTTAAAAAGGGTGAAATGGTATTTCATTTGTCCATCTGAGTTTTGTTTTGCAGACTGAATGTATTTTAGTGTTTGTTTAAAGGTGCCAAAATCTAACATCCCTAGAGAGAGAATTACTCAATTTTTTTTTTTTGAGAACTTCTCTGGACTGTCCACACTACATCTAGAAAATACTGTCTGTGGTCCTTATGTGAGAGGCCTGGCTTGCCAACAATCTCATGTGGTATCATTTTGATTACTTTTTCAGAGACCCAAGAAGCCACCTCCTCCATCGGCTCCTGTCATCAAACAAGGGGCAGGTAAGGTACCTTTCTGTTCCATCAACACGATGTGCGTCATTCTCTGCGTGTATTTACAGTGTCCTTGGTAGAACTCAAGATTCTTAGATTCAAATGCCACAGAATGCCAAATTGGGAAGTAATGTTTTGGTCTCAACAGGCAAGTTTTAAATAACTACTGTTTTTCCTAAAAATAAATAAATAAATAAACATATCATTAAAAATGTATCCCTGATACAGCAAGAAAAAAAAAAAAAGTCTAACCTCCCCAAGCGAATGACCAGAAAGACTTGGCTTTGGAATAAACCAGTTTTTGTCTGCTTTGTTTTTATTGGTTTAATAAACTGCTTTTGAGGCGAGCAGAACTGAATTGTCCTCCTTCACCTATGCTTGCCAGATCGAGGATCAGCTTGGAGGGGATCGCTTTCCACAGGTCACAGTGTCAACGAACATGTATAGTGGCACTGAATTTTCAGTGTCTGTCCTATGTAGTTAACCAAAATTTTCACTTACTTCACTTACCCCCCAACAACAAATTATTTTCTAGCAATAAATACTTTTCCTCATGATTTTTTTAATCTTGAAGAGTCTAATTCACTTTTTCTGTGCAGTTCAGATATTAAGGTTGAAAAATATGGGAATACTTGCTGTCAGATATTGGGTAACTTGTTGTAACGATGGAGTCTCATACATAAAGATGATAATTCATATTTCCCAATAGAACTCTTTATAATTGTTAAAAAAACTAATTATGGAGAGAAATTCCTCCATGAATAAGTAGATAAGTGGCATCTTAAAAATTAGCAACTAAAATAGAAGAAGAGTAGGGGTATTTTTAGTTCTACACACTCAATAATTATGGTATTTCTGTAGCATTTAAAGTATGAATAAATTTCTAGATTGGTTATTCACAGACTTTTTAGGAGGGATTTTTTTTAAAAGTTCTTTTGTCTCACCAGCTTGGGTGGAAAAATCACCTTGACCCCAAATTCCATTTTCATTCCCTTCAGCATAGTTGAGCATTATAGAGATTAAGCCCTGGAATGGGATGTTAATTACATCTCTGCTCTGCCCCCATCCTCCTCTGCATTGAGCAGTTTAGTTTTGCCACCTAGTGGTTCTGGCTGGATAAATATTTTATTGTGCTGAAATTAAAGCAGGTTATTGATTTTCTTGTCTCTGGAGACCCTTTTCCATAGAGACCTTGGTGACAGATGAGAGGCCAAGTTGATGAGTTGAGTGGTCCAAGGCTCAGGTAGCCTAGAATGTAGCTAAGATTGGATTCTTCATGGTAGTAGGATTGTCAGTTCCTCCTGTGTCTCTAGGAATGATGCTGGACTTCTTTATTATCATTAGGAGACTAGATTGTAGCATGGTAGACAAATTCTTATCCTTTTGAAACAGTTTTAACAAGGTTATGCTGGCTCTCTGAGGGCAAAGCAAGATGACATTTAATCTTCCTAGATTATTGTTGCTTTTTTATCCTGCAATGGGAACTACTGTAATGGGGAGGTAGATATTCATATTTTCCCCATCATCAACTTTCCTTGTGTTTGATTATTTGACACAAAAAATTATATATGGAATGGACAGAAATCAGATACAGTGTTTAATTTGTAGAGAGTCATTAAGGAGATTTAGGTAAAGTGTGTGTTCAGTGAATTTTTAGAAATTCTTTTGGCTTCTTACGTTATATATAATTGAGATTTTAGTACCAAGCACCCATCCATAAGGCTGGTCATGTAAGGAATTCTCAAGCACTCAACCAAGTCCATAAGTCAGAGGAGTACTTGTGAGTGATTGGTTTCATGTGTTAGCTATTTTTCAAGTGTTCTTACGTGCCTGAAGTTACTGACACTGATGAAAATGCCAGGGTAGGGAGCCGCTGCAGTCAACATGGGTAAAGATGAAATGCTAATTGGTGCATTTGGGGAAAAGTAATACTTGAGGGATTCAGACACAAAATGAAAGGACTTAGGGAGAACTACCACATCTTCTCTGCACATCTCTCCACTTAAAAATATGTTCTAGTTACTACTGCTGTATAGCAAACCACCCCAAATTTGGCAGCATAAAGCAACAATTTTCTTATGCCCAGGATTTTGGGGGTCAGGAATTTGAACAGGGCATGGCCAGGGTGTCTTGTCTCTCTTCTCCATGATGTCTGGGACATCAGCTGAGAATTCTGGACCAGCTGAGGCTGGCTGATCCACTTTGAAGATGACCACTTCACACTCATGTCTGGCTTCCCTTGGCATGGGTAGCTGGAAGGCTGGGCTCAGCTAGGGCTGTAGGCCAGAGTGACTACACCTGGCCTACACGTGGCCTCTGCAGCATGATGGCCCCAGGGCAATTTATTTCTTACATGGAGGTCCAATATTCTAACAAGTAAAGCATAAGCTACGTGGCCCTTTAGGACATAACCTTGGAAATTATATGGTATTGCGTCGGCCACTGGTTGAAGCAGTCACAAACTCACCCATATTCCAAACAGGGGACATAAGCATTACCCCTTAATTGGGGGAGAGGTAGCGAACCCTTTGAGGCAATATTTTAAAACTGCTACAAAGTGGAACCCAGATCCCTGTGAAATTCTTTTTTTATGTATAGAGCACAATATCCCCTTATTTGCATATTTTGAAGATTGACTTCTTTATTTATTTATACACATTCCCCACCTGCAACCAAGAATTTCCTGTGACTATTTTGATGCCTAGGGGAGTCAGACCTAAATATCATAAAATATTAGTGGTGTTCTTATAAATTAAGGATGTATAGGCAGGCAAACTTAATGACATAGGACAGAAATGGCTTCTGCTCTGTTTCTTAGCGACTTGTTTTTGCCAAGTAACACCAGCACTCAACTTAGGGAAAAAATCTATTAACTTTGCTGTTCCTAATAAATATTAAAAATGCTGGTGTGTCTAATAAATGAGTAGAGAAAATATTTTCTGATCACTGTTATCCTTTCCCCCCTAGGTACCACTGAGAGAAAACATGAAATTAAAAAGATACCTCCTGAAAGACCAGAAACGCTTCCAAACAGAACAGAAGAAAAAGGTATGAAATCAAGTCTTCATTGGCACTTCTAGAACAGCAAGAGACGAAGCTGTCTGTCACAGGGCTAGTCCAGATTATCTACAGAATTTGTTTTCTTTGAAATATGATTTTGATTTCTTTTAAATATCCCGTATCTGAGGAAATAGGAGAGGGGGTTATATGGTATTTTGGGGGGGCCAGTTCTCATCAATAAAAAACAACAGGTCCAGTCACTGAACACACTGGGGCTCTTCCATCCCAATCTTCCTGCCATCACCATCCTGCCCTCACCAGCAGCACTCTCATCCTTGGTCACTCCTGGGCCTTTGATCCTGGCTACAGACACATGTCTTTGGTCAAGAGTGCTAAGAGAGGGGAAGCATGGGAAAATTGGAAGAAGCAGCTCAGTGTCTACAGTCCTCTGAAGGTGGTTAGAAATGTCATTTGCAGGGAAGGAGCTTAACCCATCTCACACAGTCAATTTTACAAATGTGTTTGAGTTTTACCATTCTGAGTCTCTCCCAAGGAAATCTACATGCTTTGGAAGGACTCATTTTATTGGGTGTCTAAGATTTGATTGATCACACATTTTATGGGAGAAAATGCTATGTTATTATTATGAACAGGAAGCAGAGCACATTCCATTTTAAAAAGCAGTTATTTGTAAGTCACAAGAGAAATGCTGAATTAATGAATTCAATTATTTGGAGGTGCTCCTGGGTGGCCTCGTGAATTTTTATTGTAAAATTTAATATTTTATGTCAGCTTGCCAAAAGTTTTACTGACATTGTGAACTCTTAAGTTACACCTCTTTCATAGTGAAGAGTTAAAACTTGAGTTGTGGAACCTTATTATAAAGGCCAGGTATGTATCACAGATCAACGAAAAAATAGCATTGACCATGTGCCGTATAAATAGCTCTTTGATAAAAGTGTGTGTTTTGACATAACCAAACACTGCCCCCTGTCCTCATAGAGAACACATGGCTAGTTTCTGACTAATAGTCAGGCTCCTTGACAAGGACACTTCCTGCTCTATTCCATGCTAAAAGACTCAGCTTGCATGTGAATAACTGCCCTACTTACCTGGCCAAGTGGCCACACACTTCTGGTTCCTTTCCTTCCTAGGAGCCATTGTTCTGTGCCACAATGGGTCAAGAAGGCAGAAGACCTGATCAAAAGCAACAAGGGTTGGAGCATCATCCCATACACCAAAAAGTTTGTGGGTTCGATTCCCAGTCAGGGCACAGACCTAGGTTGTGGGTTTGATCCCCGGTCAGGGCACATATGGGAGGCAACCAATTGATATTTCTCTCTCACATCAATGTTTTCTCTCTCTCTCTCTTCTCTCCCTTTCTCTCTAAAATCAATAAACACATACTCAGGTGAGAGATATAAAGATATAAAGATATATCAAGATATCCTTCCTCTTTTACTTCCTTTCTCTCCTCCCTTCTTTAAAAAAATAAGTAACAGCCCTGGTCAGTGTGGCTTATTTGGTTGGGCATCATCTTGTGCACTGAAAGGTTGCTGGTTCAATTCCTAGTCAGGGCACATGCCCCGGTTGTGGGTTCAATCCCGGGTTGGGGGCACGCAGGAGGCAGCTGATGGATATTTCACTCTCACATCGATGTTTCTCCCTGACCCTTCCTCTCTCTCTAAAAAATCAATTAAGATATATTTTTTAAAAGCAACAGAGAAGCCAGGGAGCCAGCCCCACCCTAAGACTTGGCCTTCCATCCCTTCCAGCAGGAGGAATCTCCCTTCCTTTGTGTTTCAGCCGAGTCCTTTCTCCTTTGCTCCCCATGTACCAGCTATTGAGTTCCTAGCATTCCTGGATGGGGCATATTCCCCCCACTGAATTATGGTGGGGATGAGCACTGTGATAGCTACACAAATGCTGACGGGCTTTTAAAAGTTTGGCCAATTGGCCTGGGCACCCAAACAATATGAGTTTGTGTTTGCAAGTACAACGTGTTCAGAGTTCCAGCTACAAGTGAATATACGGACCCCACCTATCCTCCAGTGGGCAACTCTCAGAAGTTCTGTCTTTGTAAAGAAGAATGTGGATACCTGCTTTTTATGCCATGAACAGGGCAAGGCTAATTGGGGACAGAAAAAATGCAGCTGTCACTGAGCACTGCCCAGTTGGGACACCAGACCTGGCTTTAACTTCATTTTAATAGCTCTGACTCCAAAAACCCTTGGGAACAAAATACCTGTGAAGCCCCGATTTACCTTCCAAGTTCAAACTGCACAAAAAGAATCCCAAACTAGTCCTTGTTCCCTGAAACGGTCCCCTCATTATAAGCTTATGGCCCGTTACACAGACAGACCTGAGAGGTGTCAGGCCTCTTTCCTCCCCACATCCAGCAGGTTCTGCAGGTCATTTACCAAGCCTGTCAGCCATTTACTGAGCACCTGCTATATGCCCAGTGCCCTGCAAGATTCTAGAGAGATGACTAGATGTGGACTCTGCTCGTGGGGCTGCCAGCCTCCAGGCTGTGCCAAACATGCACACAACCAGCAAGTATCTAAATGGAGCCTATTTACACAGGGTTACCCTTCGTGGCTCACAGTGTTATCCTTCGTGGGTCCAGCTGTTCAGAAGGAAATATAGTGGTTTCAAGTTTCAGCCAGGCCTTATAAGTAGGCCTAATGACGAGTAGAAGTTTGCTAAGGGTGGTCTGTGGCTGGAAAGGCCGTCTAGGCAGAGGGACGGACCATCATGAGCAAAGGTAAACATTAAGTTTTGCTCTATAGGGCTTCTTCTAAATTGACAGAGAATAAAAGATGTTCTTTAGCCTGGCCGGTGTGGCTCAATGATTGGGCATCAACCTATGAACCAGGAGGTCACGGTTCGATTTCCAGTCAGGGCACATGCCTAGGTTGTGGGATCTATCCCCAATGTGGGGCATGCAGGAAGCAGCCGATCAAGGATTCTTTCTCATCATTGATATTTCTATCTCTCCCTCTCCCTACGTCTCTGAAATCAATAAAAATATATTTTAAAAGAAAAAAATGCTTTTTAATGTCTCATTTCACCTTCGTAAATGGCACAAATGGCATTGGTGATTTTTTTTAAAGCATGAAATAAGCAATCTGCACTTAAGTACTGGCACTTACACTAGATCTATCTGTCTTTTTTATGTGTTTTTTTTAAACAATGACTTAAAGAAAGACCAGACAGAGAGCCAAAACTGGATTTACAGAAGCCTTCCGTTCCTGCTATACCACCAAAAAAGCCAAGGCCACCCAAGACCAATTCTCTCAGCAGACCAGGCGCACTGCCTCCGAGGAGACCCGAACGACCAGTGGGTCCCCTGACCCACACCAGGTACTGTTCTGCTCTCACCCCTGGGATGGGCACAGGGGTATGTGAGGGGTGGCCTAGGGTTACAGTAAAAGAGCCTTGAATGGGTCTGGCTGAGGGATGGGGGGCAGGTAAAGCTGCCCTTCCACCCTGTTAGCAAAGCTGTCGAGGACTCTGCCACTTCTGTTCTTACTCTGGTGCTTGGGCAGAAGTGGGTATGAGGCTGGGAGCAGCAGCAGAGCATCTAGGACGTCCTGCTCACAGGCAGGAGTTTTCCCTGTGCTTTATTAGAGCAAGACCAATGGCCCTTCAGACTAGAAATGCAGGTGCCAAGCCCACCTTCTCCCCCTGGCCATCCTGCTGGCCTGAGGTACCCACATCTCGCTAGCAGGTCCATCCCCTAATGCCCTCCCTGCTCTGTGGTGCCTTGTTCCACACCCCCAGGCTCCCTCTGCCTTGATTGCACAGCCCTATTGTGGAACCCGGGACCCAGCCCGGCAAAGATTATATTAGTGTACATGTCTCTGAACTATGAGACCTTTGAAGTTAAGGAACATATTTTGTTCAGGCACACCTTCCAGATGTATCTGGTAAAACTCCAATTTGCTCACTGGCTGGTGGGACTTATGTGTTAGTAATGTGAAATCAGAGTTGGGCATTGTGCCTTCCAGACCTGAGATACCCATCACTCCACAAGGAAGTGTTGTGTTCTCTCCACAGGTTCATTGCCAGAACTTCCTACCAATACATGTATAATATACATGTTGGTGTAATATACCAGAATAAGTTGGTGGCATGGGGGGCTTTTCATGTACCTATAAACACACAGTCACTCACCAGATTTTTGTTCTTTTGAGCTAAGTTCGTACAATGAAAGTCTCACGGGGCTTCAGTGCCCTGGTGTTAGAGTCAGGCAGGCTTCTGGGCTCATGTCTCACCCTACCTCATAGGAGGAGTGTGAGCCTTGGCAAGTCACTGCCCCGTTCTCTCACTTTCTTTATCTAGTCATTGAAGATGATAATGGAATGCACCTAAAAGGATGGGAGGGGTAATTCCCAAGTATGTAACCTTATGCCTGTAAATCATTACTTTCATTGTCATTTTTATTACTGTGTATCAAACTGGGTGTATTGCAGTAAGACAAAATAGCTCTTTACTTTCTAAAAAAGATTTTTAAATTTTGGTAAAATACACATAACAAAGTTTGCCATCATAAGCATTTTCTTTTTTTAATTTTTTTTGTTGATTAAGTTATTACATATGTGTCCTTATCCCCATGTTACCCCCATCCTCCCCCACTCATGCCCTCACCCCCCTGTTGTCTGTGTCCGTTGGTTAGGCCTATATGCTTGCATATAAGTCCTTTGGTTGATCTCTCCCCCATATCCCCACGTTCCCCTACCTTCCCTCTGAGGTTTGACAGTCTGATAGATGCATAAGCATTTTCAAGTGTACAGATCAGTGGCATTAAGCACTTTCATGTTGTGCAACCATCACCGCCATCCATCCATAGAACTCTTTTCATCTCACAAAACTTACACTCTGTATCCCTTAAACAATAAGTCCACTCCCCCTTCCTTCTACCCCCTGACAATGGCCATTATTTCTGTCTCTATGACTATGACTACTCTAGATGCCTCATGTAAGTGGAATCATACAGCATTTGTATATTCCTGGGGAAACTAATGGGACCAGAACTGCTGTTAAGTTGGTCAGATTTGGATGTGCTGCACCCTCTTTTGCTGACTGACAGCAGAAGGCCATTTGAACATGCCCACAACAGGACCACTTGAGCGCTCCCATGATCTTAGCAAAGCCCATTTCAGTATCATGGTTAGCACTTCAGATGAAAAAGCTCATGTAAACCTATGAGCTTCTGAAGAGAATAACTACGCAAACAGGTAGAGTGGAGCAGCAGAGAGGCACATCATTTTGTGGTGGGTGAAAGGAGAACACACTCTGCTTTTGTTCTGTTAGGCATCCAGGGACTTTAGACATTTCGATTAAGTCAGTAACAATTTCCAAAATATCCCTGCTGTGCTTTCTAAAGATCTGATCCGAAAAGAAGTGCAATTCTGATGGTTTCTTTGTCTTCGAAGGTTGCTCTCAGCTGTCTCATTAAGGGATAGGTTCAGGCTTTTCGAGCCAACAATTAAACCTGCATGCAAGGAGAAAGGGAGTGAGTAATAACTGCCAACTTTCTGGGCTCACAAAGGCCTCATTCCCCACCCCCCGCCTCTGCTTAGTTCTTCTCTGCTTCCAGCCCTTCAATATCCAGTTGTCCATTCCACCAAGGAGGATGCATGAGAGGGGTTTGTCTAAATGCCAGTGGGAAATGTAACTATTATTCACAATGTGTGTGATGTCTGAGCAGCCCCAGCCTCCCACTCCCCCTCCACCTCTGTGGCTGCCCAGTCCCCAGGGCACTGGTTTGCAGAAAGGGGAGAGGGGGAGAAAAGGCCTGGGTTTCTTCCCTGACAAACCTAGGAAGTGGCAGGCCCAGGCTGGTACCGGGGAGCCAGTACCTGCTCTAGCCACTTATGCACCCAGTTGAAGGGAGTGTAGTGCCTGCTCTAGCTCGGTGGTTCTCAAACTTGGCGTACATCAGAATCACCCAGAGAACTTGTTCAGTCACTGGACCCCACCCCCACAGTTGCTGACTTGGTAGGTCTGAGGTGGGCCTGAGAATTTACATTCTAACACACTCCCGGGTGATACCCATGCTGTTGGCTTGGGTCCACACTGCCAGATCCCCTGGTCTAGATTCTCCCAAGTTCTTGACAGAGCCTCCCTCCTTCCCTGGCTACCTCTCATGCATCTGTTAATGCTCCCCAATTAGCACGTCCCTCTTCTAGAAG